AGCAGTGCCAAAACGGTGACCTTATTGGTGAACCACCCATAAGGTGGTTCACCGATAAGCGCACTCGGACGTTGAAGACTGTCATTTCGTACCAATACATATCGCTGGGAAAACTAACATCGTCATCCCTTTTGTATATGCTGTAAACGCGATGCGTGTAATTTTTGTTGCTTTCGGCTTGTCACCGGCCTTGGCAGTTTTCGTAAATGAGCCTTTATGACCAGCCTCAAACGTTTGCTTGGACGTGCTATTGGCACAAAGCACAACATTTTCTGAAACTACAGGTAAATTACGAAAAAAGATCTTCGCAAAAAAAGAAAGGACAGTGTCCAGAGCTTTTAACTAGAATAGGTTACTGATCTTTCCGAAGTTTGCTAGGAACAGATGTAAGCTAGAATCACACTGCATGGCTAAGTGATATCACGACTTCATTTTGCCTTCAGCCGTAATAGGATGTTTGGGAAGTGGGAACAGTCTATCAGCCTATCATTTCAGTGTGCGCTCTCTTAAAAAGAAGATGGATGAAATCGATTTCTTAATTTATCATTTAGCATCCTAGTATGACTTTTTTGTTGGACAGTAGAATATGGTATCATGATGACGATAATTTGTACCACTTAAAATGGTACACCAGTTGTTATTTAAATCGTTATCAGAAACGCCGGGGGGATATTTACATACGGCAAGACATTAGGTGGGAACTTCTGGAAACGTATACTGAAATGACGGACAACTTTTAAACAGTAGCTGTTAGAAGTAAAAATATGATATATCGTTGTCACCAACGGAATGTTTCGACAAGTTTGATTTGTGTTTAGAGAAATGTCTTGACTATATATCTGTAAATAAATTTTAGCTTTTCTGGTGAGATTTCAATGTAAATACCCCGCAACATTGGAATCTATCGTCGCAATTAAATAACATCCTAAGCTCAAGTAGTTTTATGAATATGATTTAGTCTCCCACCAGAACAAATATTAACTGCTCAAGAGCCGTTGACGCTTTTATCAGAAACGTTTGTGATGTTCATGACGCTTGTAAATCACTAATGACATAGTAATCGCATCACCATATTTATATCGTGTGTGTAGCACTGTCCAAAAAGGCTCAGATAGAGTTTCATATGTCTTTAAAGGGACACTGACAGTGTGTTTATAATCGCCAAGGTTTTTAGTTGTACATGACATATGAGAGCCCAACTACCCATAACACAATTTGCGACTCGAAATTCGGTTTCTTTCCGCCCGAAAACCGCCGATCAAGAACTGGCCGGTAATAGACTCGCTCACTCTCTTTTCCGTGGTCACGAGCCGTTATCTAAGGTATCGAAGCGACCACCAAATTTAATCAAAGTCTTTGGTCACTGAAGGCACACACTCAATATTAAAAATAGAAAAAAATTATGAAGCCCACTTTTGTGGCTTCTAAAAAGCTGCAGATACGTTGATTGAAAAAAAGTTCCACAGACAACCGGAAGCATTCTGTGCGTGCGTCTTTTCGTGTATCTTTGGACTCGCGGGGACGGCGATGGCAGCGGACGACGGGCGTGGGACCTCTATCTCAGAACTGTCGTTCGCGGTACCGGCGAATTCTGTCTGCCTTTAGAAAGAAAATTTGGGACTGATCAAAAGAATTGGTATTCATCCCCTACGACACGCCCGACCACCAAGCCGATATGAACGAAGACGTCGCCTAGCCGTCGCTCCCTTCTCGTGGCTGAAGATATCGCTCGCGTAAACGTCAAGCACGACGTGTCTAGTTCGAGTTGAATATGCACGCGTACGATTTCTTTACTAGGTGCGAATGTCGCCAAAGCGGGGTGCTTCCCGATTTCGACTAGGGAGTGCTTTTGCTGGAGGAAAATTGGCAACAAACTTTCCAAATTACAGTTTACCCGCTGGATTGTTACTGGAAAAGAAAGGTGGCCTGGGGTTAGTAAACGTTGAACTTAAGTTAAAAGTTCACCGTTTTATGTTTTTCAGAAGTCAGAGGAACGACATTGTTTTATCCTCCTTCAGAGTGCTCGGAGGTAATTTTTTAGGAGAGTGGCTAGAAGGTGAGGCTGGATCTTCCCGTTCGCGGATCTTAAAATTCTACAAAGAAATTGAAGCAGCGATTAAGTTTTTTAAGGACCGCTCCTCTGATGAGTACCTTGACAAGGTGAAACGAAAGACCCTGTACTGGGACACGCTCGACATGCTAATTCCTGTCCCACTGTATCGGATGTGGGGAGGAACAGCAGTGGAATCGGATGTTTTCAAACGGCTCCGACGCTATCCCGTAAGAACAGCTACAAAAAATTTTTTCTTGCGTCTACATCTGAGGGTTCTCCCGGTAAAAACATGGTTGGTGCAAAAGGGTTTTTTTGTACCGTGGTCCACGAATTGCGCGCTTTGTCCCTTTCCAGAGACTCTTGAACATGTTATCCTATTTTGCACAAATGCTGAACTTTTTTGGGCACAGCTGCGGGCGGCACTAGAAGTTGACCTGTATGTGTCGTGGCGAAGTGCAATGTTTCTTGAGTGTGGGACGGGAAGAGATAGTCGAGCCTTTGAGGTTCTGACCATCCTTGGTTTGCACGCGTTGTGGAGGTCAAGAACGGATCACCTTCATGTTGTCGAAGAAGGGAAACCAGCTTGGAGGCATTTTTTGGATGGTTTTGTGTATGCCAGCTCGCTGATAGCGACGACAGAGCAGGATGGGCTTGAGTGTTGGGAAACACTGAAGGCTCGGCTCGGAGTGCGCGGGTTCTCTGCCATCACCAAGTAGAGGCACGCCATTTGCCTTGCGGCGGTCTCCAGGGTTAGTACTGCCTATGCATTTGCGGCCTTGGAACTGTGGATTAGACACGTGAACGTGCCGCTTTGTGTTACTTTGCACGCTGCACCCTGTGTTATGCTGTTCTGTGCTTTTTCTGCACTTTGAGTGCATGAGGAAGTGTGAACGAATTTTTTTAAACATGTACATAAAGATCAATTTTAAATAAAAAAAAAAAAAAAAAAAAAAAAGCCCTAGTAGCTCAGAGGGAAAGACGTCCGCGTCACACGCGGTAGGACCGGGTTCGATCCCTAGTGAAACGTTTTTTCTTTAACCCTTTCCGATGTGTCCATTTCTTCTCTTTTTTTTTTTACAATTATCACTGAAGAAACAAACAAAAAAATAACAAACACATGTTGTGGACGACACGTCGCTGAATTAAATGGTATGGGATTTCATATTTGACACCTGCGAACTCAATGTAATCACTTTCTACAAAATGCAAGGAGCATATAAATCAGGTAGCGTCCGCTTCCGGAGGTGCCCGTAAATGTTCTACAGGAATTGCAGCCAGCCATTGGTCCCGATCCCGTTGATCTTTCGGAAACTCTGTCGCACATTGCCACTTCTTTCGGACGCAGGACATGTGAGCCAGCCCTTCACGCAACATCTTGGGTGTATTTTTTTCGGAGCCGATCATGGAAATTCACCACGGGCACTCGCTACTCATCTCCGACTTCTCAATGTACAAAACAACTCACCTTGGAGTACAGAACATCGAGCGGAACAAACATAACTGCAAAAGAATCGCGCGGCAAAGAGTTCCCCCTACGCTGCACGTCGTCTGCTACGGAAAGGAGAAGAAAAAAAAAAACAAAAAAACCGCACGGTCGGGTGCTGCCACGTTACTTCCGCCACTTCCACTCTCTTCTCTCCCCTTCTCCGACCTCCGTGCGCGGGTTTCGGTTTCAGTTTCGAGCAGTTGCGTCTTTTGCCTTGATTAAAAAAATACGCTACTCTGTTGCAAAATATTGATTGGGTAGTCCTCCGACACCATAATAAAGCGCCTGGCAAAAAATGAAAAAAAAAAAAAAAATTTTGGGGGTGTCAGTGTCCTTTTAAGAATGTATCCGAAGGTAATTTGAAAAAGTTTAGGACGGAGATCTCCAGCAGTGCCTTGCGCCCAGTTTATTCTAAAACATAAGTAGATGAGGCGTACAGGATATTATGCCTTTAGCAAAGCTTATAGCTCCCATTTTCCCTGGGAAGCAAAAATAGTTTTGCAAATATTCCGAAGCTCGCGATAACGCATGTTCCACTCAGAAAGCTAAAAAAGGATCGTTTTTCTAAGTTATTTTTATCGACAAGCAATCCTGATAAACTTATCATCTTCAAGCAATCTCGGAACCGCCTGAGATCTGAGCTACGAAAGGCTAAGGAAAAGTGTTATACGCATCTCTTTAATAGAAATTGAAAAAAAAAAAAACGACTATGTATAGTTTTGAAATCTATAAATGAAGGTATTGTAATAACAATGTTCCGCGAGGTGCAATATGGACATAATAATGCACTGCGTGTAACCGCGCGGTACATTACGGGATAATTCCCATGATGACATCACACGTGACGTCATGTGTGGAGTCACGAGGGTCACCAGTGACATCGTAGATGACACCACCTCGCGTTGCATTATAAGTGAATTTCCCCGCAAAATTTAGCACAAAAATTTCCCCGCTAAACTTAGTGAAATTCTTTTCCCGCTAAATTTAACCGGAAATTCCCCCTCTTGATATAGCGGAAAAAATTCCCCGCTAAATTTAGCGGAAAATTTCCGGCTAAATTTAGCGGAAATATTTTCCTCACTAAATTTAGCGAAAAGTTTTTCCCGCCAAATTTAGCGGAAAAAATTTCTCCGCTATATTTAGCGGGCAAATTTCCCCGCTAAATTCAGCTTAAAATTTGTTCTGCTAAATTCAACGGGAAAAAACTCTCCTCTTAGTTTAGAGGAAAATTTTCCCCTAAATGGGAGGTGAGCAGGAGAGGAGGAGGGGAGGGTACGGATGAGGAGGAGGGACATACCCACCTTTCCGTACCTTCCCCTCCTTCTCCTCAAGTTCTGCGCTCTAATTCCGCGTTGGAGTGGATGGTAAACGACTTTCGTTTTCTGGCTGTAAAACATCAGCATAAATCAGGACCACCTAGCCGGCCTTGCAGTCTAGGTTGGCATATTTTTTTTTTCTTACCGGTAGAAGCGGTTGAAGAGCTCGTAGTCGTCCTTCATCTTGGCGAGGACACTGTCCCACTCCTGGGGCTGCAGCGAAGACATGCCGTAGGCGCTTTTCGCCCTGTACTCCAGTTCCCAGACGGGTTCGTCATCGAGGTTGTTGTTGGCCTCCGTCAGGTTCGCGATGTGCGTCTCGTGGTCTAACACCGTCTACAGGAACGTCAAGGGAACACTGTTCACATTCAACGCCAATAATATAGGGTGTCCCAAGCAATGAGGCTCGATCTAAAATAGGCCGTAAATGTCGACGTCTGCATGTAGCAATCCAAACTTTTCGTCAAATGAGTACCTCACAGGTTGGTTGTCTTTTTGTAAAGTTTGAAAGCGTTGTTCCCTTTGTGTAAAAAAAAAGCGACAATAAAATTGCCATGGTCAACGGCGGGTGGTGACGTAGACGACAAAGTCGAGTGGTGGGTCGCGTTTGGGGCGCGTATTAACAGATGGCGCTACCTCTTTATCGAGACTGCTCGCGACCACCGTGGTTTATAAAATGGTTATGATATATTTGTAATGTGCCTTTGGTTTAAAAATAAACTCGTACAATGAAATCAAAACTTAAAGTAAAAAAAAAAGAACGCGTTTGACAAACGACGGCGCATTTGCTGACAACGAATTTCGTCCGCGTGTCGTCTGCTTTATTTCGCTGTCGGCTACACCTTCGGACGCTGCTCCCGACGCCATTTATCAATACGCACTTCAAACACACCCCGCAACTCAACTTGGTCGTCTGAATCGCCGCCCGCCGTTTACCCCGACAAGTTTCTTGGCCCATTTTTTACAAAAAGGATCTAGGCTTTCTAACTTTATATAAAAAAACGACTTGTGAAAGGCACTTATGACGAGAAGTTTAGATCTCCAGGTGCAAACTTCGATTTTTACGGTCCACTTTAGACCGAGCCTGCTGATCGGAAACCCTATGAATTATAAGGGAACCCTTATTTCGTTTACTTATTTTGCAGATATAATATTTGTGCAGATTGCGAATAGTTGAGAACTTTTCATAGCAGTGATGTTTGTTTCACCACAACCGATTTATATGTTTACAAATCTGTCATATATCTACACGGGAAAGGGACCCGTCAAGCAACTACGCAGTGCCCTTTTTCATTTCTCGTTCTCCACGATTATGAGGTCAATAGAATATAATAGAATTGTATTGAAAATCGTGAGTTTTTGTCTATATCCTGCATTATTGAACTGAAAGTTATCAATATAGCAATTTTTATTTTACCTAATCCTTGTAGATTGAAGTGTAACGTTTAATGTAGAATGATTCTAAAGTATATCGTATTATGTTTGCCGTAGAGAGCACATATAGCACCGAAACCAACTAACCCAACTTTCTACTTTATTACGGGATTAAGCATTCACAACACATGGCAGCGATGAGGAACAATGAACACCCGTATACGTCCAGAGATTGGATTTGCTCAATACATTACCCGCAAAGTCATTCGCGGCCATGACGGTGCCTGATGTGCCATGAGCGTTCACATCGCCGTGATAGTTTCACACCGCGGAAGTAGGAGCGCGAGGGAACCAGTAAGTAGAAATAATCGTGAGTACCTAGCAATGGCAACAGCTGCAAGCAACGTATGTAAGGTATTATTTAGGTGTCATAATTGGGCGTGTTATTCAGATGTTATCTGAGATGTTATATCAAAAGAGGCTTCTTAAATCAACGTCTCGTTATTTTCATTAGTTGAAGTTATTCCGTATTTATAGCACGAAGAAGTAACACTATTGTAACGTTATTTTTATTTCGTAATTTGTCTTTTGTACAGTTAATTGCTTACTTTTTTAGTTCACTACATCCAACATACCGTTCACGTAGATTATCGTGGACAGTGAGATGTTATAAGTTGCGAAAATCAATGTCTAATCTAAAAAAACTGTGATTTATTTAAATTTAAATATTAATATGACATCTTAAAATAAACGTGGTATAGAGATAATAAAGTATAATTATAAAATAGTTATTTTATGTGACATTAATCTCATACATGGGTAAATTACTTTCAAAATGTAATTTAATTACAATTACAATTACTTAGCTCCAAAAGTAGTTTAACTACAATTACAATTACTACTACGCAAAAGTAGTTCATTGCAATTACAAATTACTTTTTAAAAGTAATGTAATTACTTTACAATTACTTATTTCTGACAGTTACCCACCTTGGGCCATATAACTGTAAACGAGTTATATGGCCGCTGTATAAATGTCACGCATTGTACTTTCCTTTTATGAAATTTGTTAAATGGATTATAGAACTTAATAGTTTGGAGTAATGGACTCCTGCGTTCATATATTCTCAAAACAAAAAATGGCGACAAAATTCACAGGTGCGAGGTGAATCTCCTTAGAGCTTATGGAAATGGTATCCAAGTCAAACCAAGAAAAAATAAACTTAAAAATAATACAAGGAAACAAATATGCGACAGTACTGGTATCATAAAACTCACGTAAAAATGGCTAATAAGAGAAACTTGTAAACGACGTCAAACATTTAAAGGATACGACAACTTATGAAAACATTGCAGCCACGATGATTCGCTGCCTCTCCCTGTCTGGACTTGTAACATGCCGGATGTGGGTAACCGTAGCACACGAACCGTGGTCGCTTCCACAAAACTAGTGTCACAATAGCAGCAACTCTATTGCCAGGGATTCTGGGTTAATTCAGTGCACGGTAACACCCAAAAAGCTCCTGAGATAAATAATAAATTTAGGATCGTCATGTAGCTAATCATTAGGATAGCAATGATTGTATCGATGTTGTGCGTCTCATAAAGAAGGCCGATTTGAATTTAGCATGGCAAGAACAACCTCGAAAAATTCATGATACACTGCAAACGACTTTATTTTCGCGAATTTCGCGAATCGCCTACAATTCGCGAAAAAAAATGTAAACACATTGGAATCTATGTCGCGACCGCACCGCGTCGCGAAAATTAGAATCCGCGAATTATTCCAAAACTGCGGCCTCTTGGACGCCTCGATTTCACGATTTACTTGAGCGTGTTTCAGCTGGAAGATATAGACGAGCTATTATTATTATTATTTTATAACTGTAAGTATTATTCAAAGTAACAAGAAAGTTGCCTACCTGCAAGTGTTTCCGCAAATTGGAGGTCGCCTTTCCGTTTATTGAATTTGTTTTCAGAAACGGTCCGGAGAGTTTGCTCCTCACGATTATAGTTTTTTACATTGGTGCTAATCTGTTTAGAGAATTTTTCGCAACAAGGCCCCGGCAGCCTTTCCTTTTCCATTGTAGATAAGACTGTTGCAGCTTCTCAATGCAAAGCAGCACTGCGCGCCTCGGGGCGGTTCCACAGGCCAAGACGAGAGGACAACGCGTGGAGGGTCACGATAGAGGTGTAAAAACAAAGTGCAAGCCAAGCCCTCTATAAAAAAAGAAGCCTTCAACGAACAAGAAATGCAAAAACAAGCTCCCTACAGCTAAAGCCGCGATTTGTAAGTTTTGGAATCTCGTCCAATCAGGCTGGCAAACGGTTGAAAAGGTTAGGTAGAGCGAACACTAAATAATGAAGATTTATACAAAAAGGTAGACGAGGATTGGGAGAAGGAAGAGCAGTGTAGCAAGAACAGTTGGAAGTAAGGCAGGGTGAGTCGTGTTAATGAGACCTGCTGCTTCTTTACTTCTTCGCCTCGATGTTAGAGTAGCACGACTTACTGTTAGTGGTATCAACATACGAGATAGAGGAGAAGGACGTGAAAAACTCATAAGAAAAGAGAATAATTTCATGAACAAAAAAGTTCCAAACTTGACTGAAATATGTAAGCGAATATGCTAGCGGCGAAGACGCGTAAGGAGAACCTCGAACCTCCCTGCCTCGACCGGATGATGTGATCGGAGCCAACCAGCTCGACTTCGACCTCCGATGCCCCCGTGTGGGAATGAGAAATAAGAAAGACCCCTAGAAGCTGGAGCAACAGGAAGCAAACGAGACGAAGAGTCAGATTCAACTACGACAGGAACGAAAACGGACGCGAATGTAGCCCTCATTTATCAAATTATTTTCCAAATTCTTCATTAAATCGTTTTACAGTCTACAAAATCCTTCATTTCGTTCTATCCCAGCCTCTCTTTCCCATCCCTCTTTTCCATTTGTTTGAGCAGGTTGGGAGACGCTCTCTCCCCTGTCGCTTTGGCTGTGCTGTCGTCTCCGTGGCCAGGGGGGAAAAGCGCCGCCGCCACAAAATCTTGCAAAAGTAATTGTAATTGTGCCTGAAATTTAGCAATTACTGACGCTAGAAAGTAATTAAATTACAATTACAATTCCTTTTAGCCAAAAGTAATTATTACAATTACAAATTACCAGGAAAAGTAATTAAATTACAGTAATTTAATTACTGTAATTGAATTACTACCCAAGTATGATTAATCTAATGACTCTAAAATACATAGGCAAATATTTATAAAGCGTCAAAAAAGAAGCAAAGCGGCCTCCATGGTGGGGTTGCACATTAATGGTAAACACCTGCTCCGCACATTGGTTGCTGACGCGCATGCGTAGCAAGGAGGATAGTGTGCGAAGAGGCTGATCAAAGCTTGGTGACGCTTTCAAGTTGCATAAGATCGTCGCCAAATACTTTACTAAAAAAAATACAGGACACTCTCCCAGAAAACACTAGGCTCGGAGCGGACAGGATCTGAGACATCAGGATGGCTGGATGTCATAACGTCGTGTGTTTTTTTTAGCTCGGTAATTAGCGCAATCATTCCTTCTTCGCTACCCGTCACGTATTTGGTGTGGTTGCGATCTAGTCACTTCATACTGGTCTTCCATAATAAAAAAAAAATATATATATATTAGTGAATTTTCAAGGTTCAAAATAGCAGGGTGCACATGGTGCCCACTTCATTGGTTGTTAAATAAATACCTTTCACAGCAAAGCAAAGTCAAGCGAATTTAAAGCTGCCGTGCAGGTTAATTATTGCGGCAGTTCATGTGTGTAATTGGTTTTAATCACGCAGTAGAGGAACGCAAACTTAATATATAAGGAAATTGGCGACGCCAGAGGCACGTATACTATTGAAGTAAACAGTGAAGCAGCTGGTAATGTAAAAGTTGTGACAGCGCCTGAATATCCCAGATGTCAGCGACTTTATTTTTGCGGCCTT